CGGCTTGTTGTTGTGAGGGCCCCTCTGTGGTGGTCCTCGTTGCTGGATGCTGCTGTTGATGCCGGTAATTTGCAACACTGTTTGCACTATCACTCGGCACTTGTTCGCCGCGCTGAGCTTGCACTGAGTGCGCCGGTAAACCGGCGCGAGGGATGGTTACGCCTGCATATTCGCGTAATTCCCGATTAGCACGTTGCGCGGCGCGGGAGCGGGAGAGGGGGAGAAAATAACAAATTCTTCGGATTCACCTGCTTCACAGGTTGACTATTCTGGGGATGCTGTCCCCGGATTCAATCTTGGGTAGGCGGGGTTTTGTCCGCTCCGATGAAAAAAAAACGCACCAGACAACGTCTTCTCCTTGGTGCTGGCTACGATGAGTTCGCTGGATCCGTGCGGTGCGACGTTGAGGCGATGGCGGGGCACATTGATACCGCTTCGATGGTGCTAGTGCGGCGGTGCACACGGTGGAGCAGGTACGGTGGTGCACAAGATGGTGTAGCCGCGTTGCGTACGATTGTCGTCTGCCGCGGTTGCTCGGTCGAGTTTTGTATTGATGCTGCTGCGATGACTTCAGACATGTACACACTGAACGAGACGCGTAGATCGATATAGCGTTTATTTATTTATTGCAATTTACAATTTCTTAATTCTATTTATTGTTACAATTTTATTTCTATTTCTATTTGTAGGTAATAATGACAACACACAAAGGAATACTTTATTTAACTTACACTATAGGTTCATAAATCTATGTAAAATCTATATAAAATAACAGTATACAAGAACGATTAAACTAGGGACTATAAATCACGATTACATATATACAAATAATATCGCGAACAAATAGACTCATTTGATAGACACTTATATAAAATTTATCTGCTTGTGGTTGTGTAGCCCATAAAATTCTCTTCTTTTTTAATTGAGAATATTTTACATAATGAGCCTCTTGTTATTTGTATGATAAACTTTGCTAAAGATCAAAAGTACAATAAATAACAGGGTTTATAGGTTAACAGCGCAAAATTTCCACTAAATTGTAATTCTCAACAAACAATCTACGTATAAATAATTGAGCTCTTAATTAAAATAGACTTGTAAATTATCCGATTTAATTTAAAAATAAATAAAACTCACTAGTGTACGTAGTGATATGCATAGAAATACTTTGTAGCTATATTATTCCTATATGCCGACGCTGAGTGTAGGTAAAATAATGTGCTTCCGTTTCCATGGCCGTTTTTGTTCGGCTGATTATCACAAACTATAGGTCAGTATCAATAAAATATATCATCGAATCCGCAATTATACTCAACAATAACATAATAAATTATAAACATTAAGATAAACATTTAAACCGTCTGATTTTATTTCATTACGAAGGTACCGAATCTCTGAAATAATATGTAATAATTAGGGCATGTTTGTACTGCATGCTTCTTCAGCTATTTCTTTTCACTCATGACCATGCTATGGCATGAATAATTTCCAGCGGCAGTATTTTCGAACAGAGATAAATGTTTTAAAAAAAGATCATTATGTATTCTTAAAACGCTGGCAACACACACGTCTATTAATCCTGCATATTATATTTATTGTTGCTATCTTTTTTCGTTGACAAATTCACGTCACCCATATGCAAGCATTGCTAAATATATATGTCGTCAGGTCGAACTTCACGCGGTTTCTCTTGGTTGATTATTGTTGAATACATCGCGATGGCACAGGAATGAAATAGAGACTATTTCATTTTCATTTGTAAACCTAACTCTCATATAGAGATAAGTAATTAATAGAGGTTCCCTAAATTGTTACGACTTAAACTAAATTACAATAATAGACTTATATTAAATTAATTGTTAGGAATTAAACCTTCAACAACAGCAACATTAAGCAACCAAATAGATCTACCAAAATGTGGTAGCTCCGATAAGCCTTCGCAGACATCACGCGCAAATAAATAGGTAGGTATAACAGTGATACCTTTATTTATTAGGGCGCACATTATAAAACCGTTTTACAAGGCACGCAATTTGAATTCTTCTTTCGACATCCTCTTACAAAAACTATGTTTGAAAAAAGAACTAACCGCAATTAATACGGTTTTCTAAAGAAGTGTGGTGCCTCAAAACCTATCGATCAATATCAACATGAAGTAAATAAAAATATTATCTACTAGACGGTATAATAACAACAGACGTTGATATTACCTTCAGAATATTATCAAAAGTAGGTAGGTACCCAATACTTCACGACAGCTTGTGATATTAGCAGTAATTTGTTATTTCATTGGTGTGATATTTACAATCTTCATATAGATACCCTTTGGATTTCACGCCTCCCTGATGATTTTCATTTGATTCAAATATTTTTTTTTATATATATACAGAGAATAACCAATAAGTTGATACATAGTCCATGTGTGTCAGATGGAGTAAAAACTCCAAAGTCATTGAGCATAACATAGTCAATTTTTAATCGTTTGGTAAAACATTTCACGGACTTCCACGTACAAAAAATCTCAACTGAAAGTTTTGTTTTGTGTCGGTAAAGAGATTAATTGTGTTGTAAAGAGTTACAAACGATAAATTTAATTTATGATTTTGTAACATAAATAAATATTCAGATTGACAGGTATGACGAAATTATTGATATCAGATTATGAGTTATATAAGAGAACGCTATGCATTTACATACATACACAAGTTCTAACATTATTAATTGTTTTGATTATAATACAATACGAAGCACATAATTGTACTGTAAGCATAAAGCATTCACTTGTTCTCTTGTTAAAACTTTCCAGATAAATGTTAATTGTGACTCAATAATTCAATAATAGTCATAATTAAAATGATGACAATTCATAACAACATTGATAAGACCGAGACAGTAGTAACAGTGATGTGGTGGAACTTGTAAATATAGTACTCGTATTATTGTGTTGACTCGAGGTCCTCAGATGACTCATATGTAACTACTATATTTGGTTTTACAGAGTCTAGTTCGAATTTTACGAAGACTAAAATATTATAGATTGTTTCTAATGTTGATTGGATACTTTATGCTAATATTTTCATAGATTAATTTTGAACAAAACAAAACACTGAACAGTGCTTCTCAATACTCATATTATTCCTTGCTATTATTGTGGCTTTGTAGATTACCCCTATATGGGTAGAAGGAATATCAACTGGTATTTATATAACTGATAGACAGTGTAACTCATGTTGTAAAATCATTAACAGTGAGTCACCAAAAAGGGATACAATTAGAATTGAAACACTAAGTGACAACATCTACGAGTGTAATGTTATTGTTTATTAACATACCAATGTTTCAATGTGTTTATATTATATTTACTTCCATGACCTTAACTTCATACATAAAAAATATAAGTAAAAACTTTAGAAGCTTATTATTGATCCTATCATCAAATATTGCGTTCACTTAGAATGGAAGTAACTAAAGATTGCAGCATAGCCTTGTAATCTTATAAATAAAATCTTTAATGCAGGAGATATGAACCGAAACAAGTGTAGATAATGCCACACCTAAGCTCAACGTTAACGTACGTACGTATGTAGGTATGTGTAACTTGAAAACTTATGACACTGAAATGTAAAATTCTTTGAAACTACTTGAATAGTTGGAGCGTTAAGATATCATATCAATACATCGTACGATACTAATGAAATTAAAAATTCCACATCTAGGTAAACTGATAATGTCACGATAACGGGAAACTGTTCTATATAAAGGTCCGTGACTGTGGCTTATGTGTGATAAGCGATAAATTTATATCCAAGCTGACGCAAGTCCTGTAATCTTATCCCGTAGCGATCAATAATTTCTTATTTATTTGAGAATTGATTATAAATATAGCTTCCCACGTTGACGCCGAAGGCATGATTGATCGGAATGATAATATTGATATTTTCAACAAATATGCTTGATGATGAATTTTTTATTGTGGTAATTTTATTGAATGACGTGTAATACTACATTGTTCACACAAAAATAAATATAATACAGTCACAGACGACCTACTTCTATATCGAATATCAATATATACTTATTTATATATTATCAATATATATATATAATAATAGTAAATTATTATTAAATTTATTATTTTTAGATATTGTACAAGTATAAAAAATATTTAAGGGATTTCCAAAAGTAGAAGGTTCCTAATTTACTTAATTTAAAAGTTGCATAAAAAATATACGTTAACGAGAAATCTTTTCCAATTCCGAACCGATTTTGTTAATTTTTTGCAGTTAATAAGTTGCAAGAGTATACTCTATTCCTAATGTTGATATAGATTTTTGAGAGGTACAAATTATTTTTGAATTAATATTATATCGAAGTGTAATGAAGCTAATATTAATACATTTTCATTGCGATAGCGCAGTAAAAATTAACAGCTTAAAATTTTTATATATACTTCTGTAAGTGGAAAATTATTTTACAGTTTCCAGCATAAAATGTGTTTTAAGGTACCATGGACGTTACAATAATATTCTATGATGTATATTATGTTGTTTTTTACGAGCATATAGGCGAGGATTGCTATTTCCCGTTAGATCTACCTTCAGCTTGTTTGCTGTTTAGTCATATAATAATATTTATATTGCAAACATAGCAAAATATCCTCACGATATCATTTAACAACCGACGAGAGCCACTCGTAGACTAATGATGATAGGTGAACAATTTATATACCTATTAAAAAAGTAAGCGTTATATTAGGTTTTTTTAACATTATTATATGTTATTAACTGTTTATTTATTTATTTTACACCTACATTAAAGAAACTTTTCACTGAATAATATCATTCATTAGATGTACTCTTTTTCCTAAGAAAAAAGTATAAATTACTTATAATAATATGACAAGACTAGTAGTCACAAAGTAGCACAAAAATTAAGATTACACAATTATAGTGTTTCTTACTGCCTCGATAAAAAAATACCTATTGATATTAATATACAAAGCAAAGATATACATAAAGTACTAACTATTGCTTCTTTCGAACAAATGTTGATTTTATAAAATTATAATTTTGAGTAACTACACACTCAAACGACACATGAACATAATAAGGCTATATTACATGTACATCCTTTTCATGTCTCCCATGTAAAGTATTAAAATTAAATAAAATAAATAAACTAAAATTGACAACAACAACAGAATGCATAAACAAATTATTACTTTATAGTAAATAGTATATCTTTCTTGCCATTGGAATAATATGATAGTGGCAGACCCTAATGACAAGACTTCAGTGTGTATCTCTCTAAAGTTTAATGAAATGTAGACATTAGGATTATGTTGTAAGTACCTCTATCTTGTACTATTACTTACTAACTGTACTGTAGACTTTAGATTTGTCTTCGTGAAATAATATAAATAATATATGGTCAGGGTTCACCTATATACTAAATTTGATTCAAATCGATTTGAATGTGATTGTGTGTGAAACATCAAAATATTTTTTATTATAAATACATTTATAATGTAAATTGGAAAGCTTCTGTGGTTCTATATGTGAGAATGAGACCCTAAAAAGAATCATTTGCCATAAGTGTTGCAATCGGCAAAAGATAAAAGTACTATTATTTTTTTATAAACAATGATTCGTGATAAGGTGTGGCCTTATCATGAGTTTTTTTTTTATTTTAAAATAGAATCGGATTGACCTCTATATTATACACACATACATACTCAGAGTGAATACTTTATAAGTATTTTACCTTTCCATATGATATTCTTTTATGCTATTTCATAATCACTTTTCATTAATTTTTGTAATAGAGAACATTTTCAATTTGCCTATATTTTTCAGGGGGCACGGAAGTGTTGCCGCCAAGTCAAGCACATCCGTACCCGTGGCTATACCGTACTGACACACTAACCTATCATGAAAATTGTAAAAGAAGGAATATATGAAAATCCTAAAATATTATTCATTTTTTTAATGAACGGTACTATAATTATAAAAGAATAATCTAATACAAAATCTACTATTTAAGTCAATCTTCACAGTGCACTTAAGATTTAATTATTTTATTAAAAAAATATATTGTCATGCAATTGGCAAATCATTATAATTATTTTTGATGGAATTTGCATGTTACGCGATATCTTTTCTGTATTATATTTGATATTTTTTAAGTGAATAAAATTTATTCTCGTATTGATTCCATATTAATTTTATTACAATTAAAGTTTTTGATAGCATTTTAATTATATCATTTAAAAGAAGAAAAATTCTTCTTTGGCCGGTATAAGTTGATCTTGTTCATGTAGGTTATTTTTTATATAGAGAGACCTGTTCTTTGCCAGAATAGATTAGAATTAAATGTATTCTACATATAAAAGGATATACATGTGCTTACCAAAAATACTACTAATCTGTTCAGTCATTTAAGCATTATTGAGTATTTAAACATCTTTATAAACTTTAAAATCCTTCTAATAATAAAAATATAAAAGTTTGTAAATATGTCCAGATATATTTACAAACTTTTATATTTTTATTATTAGAAGTATTTTAAAAATTTGTTACTCAATTACATGGCTAAACGGATTAGAAAGAAATTTAGTATTTATATAGATGGACCATATTCTGGATTAATCCGTAAAAAAAATACTGTGTACTCATATTATAAAGAATATTTATATCCAAATATGTATTAGCTATTTGGCCGTATGGTCCTGACATAGAATAGGCCACCCCTTCCTTTCCCGTGGGTGTTATAAGCGACTAAGAACGGCGATGGATGAGCAGCAACGTCCCTCTTAAAATATTTTTAAAGCCTAACAGCGGTGGCCAATCTGCCTGCTTAGCGTGGCAACTACTGGCAAAACTCCTAAGGGGGAGGCTTATGTTCAGCAGTAGACAGTTAATGGCTGATATGATGATAAAGTACAATATTCAGTGACAGATATGTATTAATGTATGTATGTATATATGTATGTATATAACAATATTCTTAAACAAACTTGGATGTATTACGACGACATTTTGGTAGTGTTGAGTACCTAACAGTTTTATCTTGTAGATAACCATATCTGTTTTGCAACATTATACATAATATTATAGTATGGTACTCGTAATGTGGATTGTTGGTTGGTTGGTTGTAAAAACTATAGTACTCGTTTACAATTTTATTTTTATAATAATACCTGGCCATAGGAGATATTTACCTAAAATAATGTCGTATTAAATCCAGATAATAATTTAAACGTTTAAAAGGTTCTCTTGAGTAACAAATCTTGCATATTGCTTTTCATGTCTATCTCTATAGACAACACTTAGTTTGTTTTTCATTTCAAGTTATAAAAAAAGTAAAATCGTAAAATTAACTAAAATATCTGTCTATTTATTAGGAGCAGCAGTTACCAACTCCACTTCACGCTATTTATAACGTCATAAAGCAAACAAATGCCTGTTTGTCTCAATTGCTAAGTGCGTTATCTGATAAATATTCGAGAATTCACGATAATACTTATATCAAATTGACAACGTAGGTTAGTATAAGCCAAGTTATATGAAACTAAGGCTCTCATATATACATATATATTTGTTAGTTCAGAAAAAAATAACTTTACTAACTGTTATTCGCGGCTTCGGTCATGTATGTTTTTTTTTTCGCAATAATATAAATTTGATGGAGTGGAATCAAATGTACACAAAATACTTCTAAATAAAAAAAAAAATACGTTTACGCCAAATTTTTTGATTATTGCTTGGATCGTTAAAAGTCTTGAATAAAAGGATTTAGCTTTTTCAAATAAACACTTAATTTTTTACCTTGTGTATAATTCTGTATTAATTTTTTTTTAATCACAGCGTGTTAAATAATTAATTACTATTTTTTATTATAGCTATAACAAATACACTTTATCATTTTAACTTATAATAGTGCATTGAAACTTTACACGACTATGTATTTGGATTACAATACAATATGACACTATTAGAGGGAAAGGGATTGTTGCTAATGGGGCTTGAACATCCCTATTGCTAGCGATATACCCTATTAAATCGATCTCTACGTGGTTCACCCTGAAAACTATCGTAACCAATTCTTGGTTAATTCCGCACAATGGGCTAACTAACCTGTTTTCATCCTCTACTGATAAGTTACTGGTATCCCGCCAGGATAAACCGTTAGCTCAGACGGTGTTACCATTTCATTATCACCCATTAAAAAAAATAGGACACTTTTGTAATTGTATAGGTAATAAATATTATTCAAAATTTAATGTCTATCGGTTAGCGATAAGCCCTGATCTTACACTAATAGATAGTGTGTTTGTATTATTTTGTGAGACACTGCTCAAAAATAAGTTATTACGTGACATAGTTTTTTAATTGATCTTGCTATACTGAAATCAGACTGCGAGTTCACGCGCCTTTAATTAAAGTATTTACACACACCGGTGGCATCGACAAATCAAAATTCGCCAACAATTTTTTTTTTTTAGATAAACATCCGGCAACGAAAACATGATCAGTAAATAATCGCGTAGAGTGGAAAGTTCCCCGAAGTTCCAGTGATAGTGGTTATCTATCAGCGACGACAAGCACGCCGGCCCGACGTGGACGTTATCGAGCACCACGTAACATTAGGGTTACCACACAGTTTTTTTTATTGTCATAATGTGGTTCCCTCTTTTTTACCCGATTTCGAAAAAAAGTTTCCTCGACTCTCTATTTTTTGTGGTTATGTTGCGTGATGACGTCGCCAATTCTAGATTGATTTATTAATTTAAATCAGTAGAGTTTACAAGTCGTGTTGGTTCAGTATTACATTTAAGATTATTGAAGCTGTTGTTTTTCTTTGTAAAAAATCCTGATTAACCGATAAATAGGGTTACCAAAACTTGAATGCGTTCTTGGATTAAATAATTATTTTATTGCTATATCTTACACTTTAAATATAGCGGTGTAAGTAAGTGTATAGCTACTTGGCAGAAGAGACAAGTAAAATAAAAACATTGTATTGGCATACACTATAACATTTTTTTAAATCGATTCAGTATCGGTAAATTCCTTTTTAATGTTAATTACCTATTAGATAACAGTATTTATTTAAATATGTAATATTTAGTTAATAATAGGAAGGTATTTATTACATAGTACACAGATATATAATCTCATGCGTCAGACGACATAGCAGTCAGCATGACTTGATGACATCATTAAGGGTTCGTCACCTTATGTCATTATATCAATGATATATTGAGAAGTCTGAAGCTTAGGTGCTGATAATTGGTTATATTTTGATATATATATATATATATATATATATATATATATATATATATATATATATATATATATATATATATATATATTAAGAACATAACGGACGTATTATAAACTGTTATAGTAATTAACATATGAAGTTGTACAGATGTGGACATTGATTTATATTCAGGATGAAGTCCAAATATTTTTTTTTTATTTTCGTTGAAATATGGATTTATAAACTACAACAAAGTTTAATTAAGCTTTTTATACTAATACGGCGAGTCCTATCTTTCAAGCGACTTCAAAAACAAGGTTCTCAATTCGGTTGTATTATTTTGATGCTTGTTTGTTACCTCATAATTTCGTCAGTTGAAAACCGATTTAGAAAATTATTTTTTATCTCAAAGGCATTATATACCTATTTATAAATTGATCCCAGAGAAATTTTCAAAACCAGTTTAGTAGTTTTTTATTTAAATTAAAGAATAATAACTGGTTTTGCCATAATTGAAGACTTTTTTGTAAAGCAAAATTTTTTTTTATTAACGTTTTACTTAACTTCGTATGACTAGCAGACATCTCCTTGTAAAGCAAGAACAATATGGTTCATGAATTGATACCATTGAAAAGAGAAAATTTGTCCGATAAAAAGAAATGCTACAATAAATTTTAAACCCATTTTCTTTATGTAGTTGGTAAAAAAATTATATTTTAAGCAAATTGACTATTAGTTTCTCTAAAACAATTTAATACCAAAAATAACTTTTAATATCTACGTGCTTTGTTTATAATAGAAGAATGTTTGTATGCACGTACATGCCTTTTTGACGTAAACATCATACAATTTGATACTTTCTTACACTACCTTGTATAATTATGTAAATCTGTGTGTTTTTGTGCTTTTAATTTTAGTGAATTGAGTTAAATGGTTTTTAGTAAAACAAATTCTTAAACTTTGTATTATTCTTTTCAAACCATGTAAAGGTAATTTAAATGTCTAGAAGGAATATACATATTTGCAAGCAAGATTACGGAGACTTAACGGCGACAAACTTTTTCCGTTTCCTGTAAACCAATCAGTAACTAATATTCGACTTACTTAAACACTTTCCGATTCCAAGAGGATGTGTCTATTTGCAGACTTACGAACAAACACTTATGATAATGATAAGTGATAACTTATCGCCAATATTTACACAAGGCTCGACAGCTGCGTAAAATGGAAAAATAAATGGCGATATTTTTTAAACTTGCAGTGGTTACGTATTACGAATATGAAATAAATTCTGAAGTATATTTATCTATCTAGTCTTAAATGAGACATATATACGATATGAAATCAAAATGATCTCATTCTTTTTTTTTTTTTTAAAACAAGGGTTTTCCAGTTAAACAAAATTTATTTCCAAAAAACATTTTGAACTTTCGCATTAACATTGCTAATGTGATGTGTCTACATGTGTAGTATGATATGAAAGGCTTAACATTTTTAGTCGCTTTTTTACCCGTGTATTTTTTTTATATATATTTTTACTAAAAAATGCTAATAATTTCGATTTAACCTGAACTTTAAAATGTACCTAAAGATGTTTAGATGTTCGTTATTTAGTTGCGATAAGTCGGGCAAATTTGAATGGAGGTTGTAGCTTATAATAATAAAAAACATATCAAGACGGTATTCGATTGATTGACTTTTGAAACAACTCACATTCAAAAGCGCTGAGTTCAGTAATTTGAAATTTTGCATAAGGGTTCTTTATTTAAATGAACACTACGAAGGGACTTATCGAATTCCCATGGGAACGGGAGATACCGGGGATCGCGCGAACGCAACCGCAGGGAACAGCTGATCGGTGTGGACAATTGCTAATTTCTATTAACAGTTATAGATAGTACTTTCTAAAACATCTTTGTGTGAACTGCATTTCCATTTCATTTCCA